GCCCCTTTTTTATATTTTATTTTTAATTTGTAATTATAGATGGAAACAAATAATAAATTTAAAAATGCCTTTTTATATTTTTTTAATATTTATTTTTTTAGTTGTAGTTGAACACAATACCTTTATTTTATTTATTTATTTTCTTATGTGGTGCCGAGGATTGAACCCAGGGCCTCACACGTGCTAGGCAAGCACTCTACTGCTGAGCCATAACTCCAGCCTCAGAATGCCTTTATTTTATTTGTTTATTTTTAATGTGGTGCTTAGGATCAAACCCAGTGCCTCATACATGCTAGGAAAATCCTCTGCCACGGAACTTTAGCCCTGGCCCCATATTTTATTTTGAAATAGGATCTCACAAAGCTGCTTTGGGACTCACTGAATTACTGAGGCTGGTGAACTTGCAATCTTCCTGCCTCAGCCTCCCAAGATGCTGGGATTATAGGAATGTTTTGAGATAGGGTCTCAATGAATTGCTGAGGTTGGCCTTAGACACCCCCTGCCCTGGTAATGGGGCTTAAACTCAGGAGTACTGGACCACTGAACCACTTCTCAGCCATATTTTGTATTTTATCTCACTGAATTGCTTAGTACCTTGCTTTTTTTTTTTTTTTTTTTTWAAGAGAGAGTGAGAGAGGAGAGAGAGAGAGAGAAAGAATTTTTAATATTTATTTTTTAGTTCTCGGCGGACACAACACCTTTGTTGGTATGTGGTGCTGAGGATCGAACCCGGGTCGCACGCATGCCAGGCGAGCGCGCTACCGCTTGAGCCACATCCCCAGCCCCCAGTACCTTGCTTTTGCTGAGGCTGCTTTGAACTCTTGATTCTCCTGCCTCAGCCTCCTGAGCCACTGGGATTACAGGCATGTGCCACCGTGCCCAGCAACCTTGGACTTTTGGTTCTTCTCTCAGCCTCCTGAGTCGTTGGGATTATGGGCATATGCCATTTTTCTTGGCAGAACACATCCTTTTTATATAAACACAATGAAAAGATGGTGTTTGCAGTGGTTTTTTCCCCCACATTTTCTATTGGTGCATTATAGTTGTACATATTGATGGGATTGTTATTTTGTACAGTTTTTTTTTTTAAGTCAGCCTCCTTATATCAGTGGTTTCATAGTTCTACCTTTTCCAGAATGTCATATGTCATTGTAAAGACTCAGTACTTTCATATTTTTGCTGTTACCCTAACCCCTCATATTTTCAATCTTTTAAGGTGATTTGTGCTCTAGAAATTGGGCCTCTTAAGTTGTTGTGCTTTGTGTGTGTATGTGAAATGTTACCCCCACCTCCCCACCCCCGTGGTGCTAGGGATTGAACCCAGGGCTTGCATGTGAGGCAAGTACTCTACCAACTGAGCTATATCCCCAGCCGAAATGTTCTTATTCAAACATTTTGTTAGACTGAAGCTTAATCATACATCTAGATATGTTACCTTTTGGAATAGCTTCTTGTCACAATTGAGGAAACTGCCAGAAGTGTCTTAACTTTAGAACATTGTGATTCCCCACTTATAAAGGTATATTATTAAACACAAATAATAATAATGAAATACAAATAATATTTGGGCGCCATGGCACATGCCTGTAATCCCTGTAATTTGGGAGGCTGAGGCAGGAGGGAGGATCTCAAATTCAAGACCATCCTCAGCAATTTAGCAAGGCCCTAAGCAATTTAGGGAGACCCTGTCTTAAAAAATAAAAAGGACTGAGGACATAGCTGAGTGGTAAAGCACCCTTGGGTTCAATCCCTAGTAACGAAAATAATTATAGATATTGTTAAATGTTCAGGCTACATTGTAACAAGTAAAAAAAAAAATGAGGGTTTCTTTATCCATTTCATTTCTTAGAAGTAGCCATTTTTGTCAATTGGTTACCTGTCAGTTTTATGGTACATTTTAAAATTTAAATATTGTTTGGAAGAAATGCTTTAGAAATGTTGAATATGAGTTTATTCTCGTTTTTGTTTATTTATTTTTTAAACTAAATACATAAACTATTTTTTCAAGCAGTTTTTAAAGATTCACAGCAAAGTTGAAGGAAAAGTAGAGTTCTCATGTATCCAATTTCTCCTTTACAGACAGTGCCTCTCCTCCCCAGTCATCCTGCACATGTGTTACAGTACATCTGTACATTTGTTACAATAAGTGAATAAGTATGGATACTTCATTAGCAGTCAAAATACATGGTGTACTTTAGGGTTTACTTTTGATTTTGTAGTTCTGTGGGTTTGTACAAATGACATGTGCACACCATTATATAGTATCATAGAGGATAGTCCCGTTTTCCTAATAATCTCCTGTGTTCCACCTGTTCATTCCTTCTTCCCCACAACCCCTTAGGAACCACTAATCTTTTAGTAAAATCTTTTTTTTATTAAAAAAATGACAGCAGAATGCATTACAATTCTTATTACACATATACCACAGTTTTTTTTTTTTTTTAAAGAGAGAGTGAGAGGGACAGAGAGAGAGAGAGAATTTTAACATTTATTCATTTTTTCTTAGTTCTCGGCGGACACAACATCTTTGTTGGTATGTGGTGCTGCTGAGGATCGAACCCGGGCCGCATGCATGCTAGGCGATCGCGCTACCGCTTGAGCCACATCCACAGCCCCCTATACCACAGTTTTTTATATCTCTGTTTGTATATAAAGTATGTTGACACCCAATTCTGTCTTCATACATGTTTTGAATAATGATGTCTATCACATTCCACCATCTTTGCTAATCCCCTGCCCTCTCCCTTCCCCTCCCACCCCTCTTCCCTATCTAGAATTCATCTATTCCTCCATCTATTCCTCCCATGCTTCTCCTCCCTACCCCACTAAAAGTCAACCTCCTTCATAGTTCTACCTTTTCCAGAATGTCGTATGTCATAAATTGTAGATTTTTCAGATGGTCTTGTATATGTGAATGCTGGGAATTGAACTGAGGACCTCTTTATGGGCTAAGCACACACTCTTACCAATGAGTTGCACGTTCAGCCCCTGTTTTTCTTTCATATATTGTGCTTTTGTGTTGTGTCTTAGAAATCTTTGTCTAGCCTGAGGTCACAAAGATATTCTCCTATATGTTTTCTTCGGGGTGGGGGGTACTATGTATTGAACCCAGATGTGTTTTATCCCTGAGTCACATCCCCAACTATTTTTATTTGAGACAGAGTCTCACTAAGTTGCTTAGGACCTTACTATGTTGTTCAGACTGACCTTGAACTTGAAATCCTCCTGTTTCACCCTCTGGAGGTTTGTATAACTGCACCCAGCTAGAATCTTTTGCCATTTTAGGTTTTATATTTAGGTCTACAAAGCATTTTTTTTTGTACCAGGAATTGAACCCAGTGGTGCTTAACCCAGTGAGCCACATCCCCAGCCCTTTATTATGTTTTATTTAGAGACGAGTCTTGCTGAATTGCTTTAGGACTTTGAGGCTGACTTTAAACTTGCAATCCTTTTGCCTCAGCCTCCCTGGCTGCTGGGATTATAGGTATGCCACAGTGCCCAGTTTTTTTTTTTTTTTTTTGTTTTTTTTTTAAATGGCAGGCCTGGGTATTGATTCCAGGGCCTTACACATGCTAGGCAAACATACTATATCACTGAACTACATTCCCAACCCACATTAGTTTTTTAAATTATGGTTTGTCACCATTTGACCCAGTTATCCCACTAGTTGGTGTATACCCAAAGAACTTAAAATCAGTATACTGTTGTGATGCAGTCACATCAATGTTTATAGTATCATAATGCACAATATCTAGGCTATGGAACTAACCTAGGTACAACTTCAACAGATGAATGGATAAAGAAAATGTGGTGTGTGTGTATGTGTATATATGTATATATATATATATACACACACACACATATTGTGCGAGGCACGCACTCTACCTCTGAGCCGCAACCCCAACCAGCTAAATTGTTTTTTTTCCTCGCATGTAGATACCTAGTTCTAGCACCATCTATTGAAAATGCTATTATTTCTTCATTAATTTGTCTTTGTACTTTGTTGAAGATCAATTAATTATAAATGTGTGTCTTTTTCTAGACTCAAWCTATATTATTTATCCTGATTAGTAGCCCATAGATCCAGAATAATTTGGAAATCTAACTAGCTGTCTTTAGAAATTTAAGTATCTGTTATTTGTTGATTACAGTTTGTTACCTGTGGTATTTTCTAAAACAACTTTAAGCTTGTAAGATTTTGCTAATGATTCATCATCTGTTTGGAAAAATGAGTAATTTTGTGTGGCGGGGTAAGAATGATCTTGACTTTTCCTAGAAGATGTTCATTTCCTTTTCTTCCTTTTTTTTTTTTTTTGTTTTTGGTTTTTTTTTTTTTTTTTGGTACTGAGAATTGAGCCCAGGATTGCTGGACCACCAAGCTATAGCCCCATCCCTGTTTGGGGCATGGGGAATTCTGGGTATTGAACTCAGGGCCTGCTGGTGTGCTAGGCAAGCATTTTACCATTGAGCCCCCCAGTCTCCCCAACCCTTTTTAAAAATTTCATTTTGCATTAGTTACCTGATGTAATAAGTTGCTTTTCTTTTCTGTGCTAAGGATCAAACTCAGGACCTTGTACCTGCTAGACAAACACTCTATCACTGAGCTATACTCCAGCTCCTAGTTGTTCATAGATTTTTTKTGTGTGTGTGAAAGTCTAAATTTGTGCTGAATGTGATGAAGTGCTCCTGTAAACCCAGCTGCTCGGGAGGCTGAGGCAGGAGGATCTGAAGTGTTTGAGGCCAGCCTCAGCAATTTAGCAAGACCCTTTCTCAAAATAAAAAGTAAAAAGGGCCAGGGATGTGATGCTCAATGGTAGAATGTCCCTGGAATCCCCAGTACTGGGGGGGGGGGGGAGTCTGAATTTGTGGTTTTTTTTGTTGTTGTTGACTGAGAATGAAAAGCTTAAAGCTTAAAATAACCCCTCATTTGATTAGCTTATTAACAATTTTGATATTTATTGCTTTTGTAAAAATAACTGTAGTCTTGTTTTTTTGTTTTTTTTCAGGGTAATCACTTTGATCAATATGAAGAAGGACATTTGGAAATTGAACAAGCATCACTTGACAAGCCTATAGAATCGGTAAGATGATCAGTGCTAAATTTTGGCTCTTAGCCAGTTAGTTAGGTAGTGTTCGTGTGACACTTGATGTGAGTGAAGTTAAGCTTATTAATAACTGATAGTATAGTTAGTTAGAGATATTTTCTTGCATGCCCTGCAGTAATCAAATAAGAGTTTGGGATGTGATTTGATATTTTTAATACATTGGGAAATTAGTCCAAAACATGGAAAAACAAATTGGAATTTCAATGGAAAAATATTATTTTGGCCCATATTGATATTCCGATAAAGATAGAAAGTTCAAGCTTAGTGTTTTTATAAATTAAATAAAGGAGTAAAATGTATTTTGATCCTTTAATACCTTTCTTGGGTGCCCAGTCATATGTGAAGTGATTAGAAATGGTTAAGAAATAATATATATTTTTTTTATCAGACTTTAGTGAAACATGATAAACATGGTCTCTGTAGCTTTAACTATGTCTCTCTTTTTTTTGTTGTTGTTGGTCAAAAGTTAATTATATTTTTCCACACTGCTTAGTTTGGGGCATTAATGATACCAACTCATAGAACAAGGAGATTTATTTTTCCTTTCTCTTAATTTAAAAAGAAATCTTGATTTTTTAACATTATTTTTATTTTGAAAAACCCATATTTTAAAATAACACAGTCCGTTGTTACAATGTCTAAATGTCATTATTGTCAGCATTTAATATTTGTGCTTAAGTGTACATAATTAATAAGGGCTTCATTGAGTCATAGGAAAAACCTGATTGGGGAAAAATCATCAAAGAGGGAATCTTAATCTTTATAGTAGTCAAGACAAACCCCTTCTCTCCCTTTAAGAAACACTAGCTTCTTTTCCCTTAAGAAAAAAAGTCAATTTAGTGAGTACAGAGTACAAATACTTTTAATTTTAGCTTTTTTGAAATTGTAACATAGTAAAGGATCAACATATATTTATGTTCCTAATTAGGTTGGTGTTGTGTGTGTTTGTGTGTGTGTGTGTTTAGATGTTTACAGAAATTTACACAACTTGGGGTGTTCGACATTTTTCTTCCACAGCAGTTGGCCCATATTAGCTAAGCAGCCATGATCTGGTTTGTATTGCACGGTCTGCCTTTTTTTAATTTCTTCTCTAGGGTTTCTTTCTCCCCCACCTCCCCTTCTTATTTCTGTCCTTCTGGTCCAGTGAACACTGCGTATAGTATCTTCTGTCTTAATGTGCTGGCATGATGCTAGACTTAGGCATGGCAGTAATTGATGACGCATGTGATAATGCTGCAGAGGGAGAAGTCACATCTGATGTGCTGAAAGTCCAGTCTTGAGTTTTGACATAAGGATAAATTGCCAAGCCCACTTTGCTAAGTTAAAACTCACTTTATGCCTTGCTCAGTGTCATTTTGGGACTTATCATGAGGCAGAATTTTATAATGAAATCAGTAGCCATGATCAGTATCTTGTACTTGAGAAATAATTTTTTCAATTTAATAAACGTGTTTTTTGGGGGTCAAAGTTCAAGAACAAACTGTCAGCAGAAAAGCCCAATACCATAGTCTATAAGGTGTATAGTTGGTTAATATTCTTATATAAACTATAATTCTAAATATTCTGACTTGGCAGTAGCAGGAAATTTATATTTAAATACTAGGCTGAATTTGCATCCTAGTATTTATTATTATTATACTCAACAGAGTATTAAAAAGCATTAAGTGATATGTTTTATAATAAAAGTTTTCTTTTGGGGCCACAAAACTTATTTCTGTGGCACATAAGGCTAATGCTACTTTGCCTCACAATGTCCAGGATTTTTTTTCTAGCACACATCATAGGGAGAGCACTGTCAGAAGAGAGTCTAAGGGGCTGGAGTTGTAGCTCAGCAGTAGAGCCCTTGCCTCATATGTGTGAGGCACTGTTTTCGATTCCCAGCACCACATATAAATAAGCAAATAAAATAAAGGTTCAACAACAACTAAAAAAGAAAAAAAAAAAGAAGGAGAAGACGACAGTTTGAGTAATCATTGTTGAGAAATCTCAATGAGGAGGAGAACGTATATATATATATATATAAAATTTATTAAATACTATTATCTTCTCCATTTAAAATAGCAAGTAGTATAGTACTCAGACTGTATATTTATTTTTTTAATAAATAAACACTTTCAAAGGTGTATATTATACTAATAAGTATGCTTCTAATGAAAATTTACTCCTGGAAACACATATATGCATTATTTGTGATGTGATAGGTTAAGTAGTAGTTACAGCTTCATGGCCTATATTGGGTTAGGTAGAAATGGGATTCACAAGATAAGGAAGAATCTTATATCTGCTACTTAATCATTTGGGTATAAAACTTAAATTTTAAAAGAAATTCCCGTGATTGGCATCAAAGTAGTAAGTAGTTCCCCCCCCACTTTTTCTCCCCCAAGAAAAAACCACTATTATGTAAGTAATTCCCACTAAATAATAAGTATATATTGCGTTATATGGCTGGCTGGCTATATTGAGCTATTTTTGTTCTTAGGGGGAAATGTCGTTTCTTCTAACACATAAAGAGACTCTGCTGAATTAAAATCTTTCTCTGCAGCAATATCTATTGAGAGGTGCTGACTGTTTTGCTACAGCATGCAACTCAAAAGTGGCTGGAAATATGCAGCTTTGGGAGTCTACAGATCATTGCAGGAGCTAAAGGTCTAGTCATTTTTTTTTTTTAACAAAGGTAATCTGCAGCAGCTGGTAACCGTGGAAGTCTCTGCACAGGTTTGTGCCAAGATATGCCCGTTGAAGGGTTATTGTGAGTATAGGATTAAGGTCTTTTTGTTTTGTAATAGGGTAAATTTGATGCAAACTAGCAAGATGGGAAATGAGATTTGAAGATGTAATAATGCATTATATTTTTAGTGAACTTCTGAAGTTAGATTTCTTAGTGAGATGATACAAATATTTCAGTTAAAAACACATGAAAATTTAACTTTCGTTAAGTATTTAATATCTATTGTAAAGTTCTATTTTCCTTTCTTTATTTCAACCAACCGAATAGCCTCTGATGAAATTTCTGGTCAAGGGTGAAACACTTTTCTAAGAAAATTATGAAAGAATTGCTAGACAACTTGATTATTTGAATTAAAGTAAAAGTGCAAAGTATTAACTTTTATCCTTATTATAAAATCTCTTTTGAACTTGAATTTTAAAAAGCCATTATTGCTTTATGACTTTTAGATCCCAGCCATTGTAATTATGACCTCCATGTACTTACAATATTTAGAAAACAAAATTTTATCTAAAGTCATAGATCAAGTTAGGATTCCATCATACTTTGAAGAATTGGTTGGTATGATTTAGGATGTCTGGTCCTTATGACTATAGTTTGAAGATGTGAGAAATCAGATGGGGGAATGATGTTAAATTATATAGGTGGCAAGATACCTACATTATAGACTTAAAATATGCAGTCATTGTTGCAGTTGGAAGTGCAACTACCAATAAGCATTAAATTGGTTTTTGCTCTATTTGACTGATTAAAATCCTGGCTTAATAGTTGTCAGGTTGATTGAGTAGATTTTAAAAATTAGTGTCACTTCAAATTCTGGTTGCTGATGTTTAGTTTGCTTGTCTAGGGATTTAGAAGTATATGTATAGTTGGATTTTTGTCATGTTGCATTATCTGTTTAGATCTGTGGACTCCACTAGTTCCAAACTGTAACTCTATAAGACTGCTGATTTGACATTTAGCAGTGACCATATGTGGACTGCACTATAAATGTGCTTCTTGGAGCTGAATGGTGTAGCATTACTATATGGCTTTTCTCTCTAGTCTTCATTGTGTCATCTGTAGTGAGCTATAGATTTTTTTTTGTTTTGTTTTGGGAATTTTTACAACTTGTTGTTTGCATGGGTTCACCTAGTAGCATTTGGTTCTTGCTTACACAGTCTTTGATACACAATCAGCAAAGCTTACAATCCACTCAAGAGACTTGCTATTTTTGTCACTATTGAAAATAAATATGCTAAAGTGTGTAAATTGAATATGGCTGTCAACTAAAAGAAAATTCATTGTGAAATTCATCTAGTCACTTACATGCCTGTAGCATAACTTTCTCCTGAAATATAATACTGTGTTTCCTTGTATAAAAATTTGGAGTCAGCCCCATACAATACAGTAAAATTTCATCTTTGATTTGGCAGGCACCTGTCATACATGTTGGTGGTACTTTTGCAAAAATAGYCCTTGTTACTGTGGTGGTATAAAACTACATGGAGCAGAGAGAACTTCCTGGGAAATTTTTCTGCTTGATAATTAATAAATTAAAATGTTGAGAAATACAAATAGTTAATGAATATTCCCCTTTCTACCCACTTTACTGGGGATCAAACCCATGGCCTCAGGCATGCTAGGCAAGTGCTACCACTGAGCTTCTCCCTCCACCCATCTTGCTTTTTAAATTTTATTTTGAGACTGAGTCTTGCTAAGTGTTGCCCAGGCTGGCTTCTAATTTGCCATCCTCCTTTCGTAAGCCTCCAAAGTAGCTGGAATTATAGGTATGCAGTGTCATACCTGGCAAGTGTTTTTTTTTTTTTTTTTTTTTTTAATTGCTGATGTTGTTTTCAGCATATTCATAGTTTTTTTTTTTAAATATTCTTTAGTTTTAGGTGGACACAACATCTTTATTTTATTTTTATGTGGTGCTGAGAATCAAATCCAGTGCCTCACACATGCTAGGTGAGCGCACTACCACTTGAGCCACATTCCCAGCCCATATTCATAGGTTTTTATGATATACATTTGTTGCTTTCAAAGATCTTCCCATTTAAAAGTTGTACCTCTCTTCTCACATAATAGAGAAGAACAAAGGTTGGAAATATGGAAATTTTTACAGCTTTTTTTCCCTGGTACTGTGAATGAAACCAAGGGGTGTTTACTACTGAGCTATATCTTCAACCCTTTTTATTTTTTTATATATTTTTTGGCAGCGGCAATGGGAGAAGGGTAACCACAGATTGAACTCGGGGGCATTAAACCACTGAGCCACATTCCCAGCCCTAATTTGTAGTTTATTTAGAAACAGAGTCTCTCACTGAGTTGCTCAGCACCTCGCCATTGCTAAGGCTGACTTTGAACTCGATTCTCCTGCCTCAGCCTCCTGAGCCGCTGGCATTACAGGCATGCGCCACTGTGCCAACCTTTTTTATTTTTAATTTTAAAAAAATTTTTTTTTAATATTTATTTTTCAGCCTTTGGTGGACACAACATCTTTGTTTGTATGTGGTGCTGAGGATCAAACCCGGGCCGCACGCATGCCAGGCGAGCGCTACCGCTTAAGCCACATCCCCAGCCCCTTATTTTAAATTTTGAGACAGGGTCTTGCTCGGTTGCTTAGTGCCTTATTAGGTTGCTGAGGCTGGCCTCGAACTTGTAATCCTCCTGCCTCAGTCTCTCAAGTCACTGGGACTACAGTCATGTGGCCACCACACCCAGCTTCAAAGTATAGCATTTTAATTGTACATTTAAATTGAGGGGGAAAAATAAGCCAACTGAAGTAATTTTGGTGAAAAAAACATTGGCTTTTCAGTTCAGCTTTATTTTTTAACCACAATTATAAGAACTTTATTTCCAACCAAAAAGCATGCCACATAGCCACCATTTTGAATCTTGAGAACAGAATGTAACAAATAGGTGGTGTGTGGGAACTCTCTGTGAATCATGTGGAAAACCAACTTTTTGCTTATCACCCTTGGGCAAAATACTGTTGACATATTAATTATCTTAAAATTTGGATTTCCTTGCAACTTTGTTAATAAATTAAAACGAATAAAAATTATTATTATTATTTTTTTGAGACCCCCATCTTGTCATGTTGCTTAGATTGGTCTTGAATTCTTGGGCTGAAGTGATCCTCCTACCTCAGCCTCTCTAGTAGCTGGTGCTATAGGCATGTACCATCATTCTTGGCTGGTTTTTAGTCACTATTATAGTGACTGAAATAGTAAAGAGTTCATTTAAATTTTTTTTCCTTATAGTTATTATTTTAGAGGTAAATTCAGTATATATTGCCCTTACTCTATCTAGATTACCTGTTGGAGCTATAAGTTATTTATGTCAATTTACTGTTATAAATAGCATCCAGGAATAATTAGCAAAATCACATCCCTAAATAGGAAGAATATATTCCTTTTTTTTACTATTTATTTTTCAGTTTTTGGTGGATACAACATCTTTATTTTATTTTTATGTGGTGATGAGGATTGAACCCAGTGCCCCGCGTGTGCCAGGCGAGTGTGTTACCACTTGAGCCACATCCCCAGCCCAAGAATATATTACTTTCTGTAGGTTGGTGATTGACTCCCTTTTTTAAAATTTATTTTTGTGGGATACCAGAAATTGAACCCTGGGAACTTAACCACTGAGCCATATCCCCAGCCCTTTACATTTTTTTTTTTTTTTGAGACAGGATCTCAATAAGTTGCTGAGGCTGGCTTTGAACTTCCAGTCCTCCTGCTTCAGCCTCCCAAGCCACTGGGATTACACTTGTACCACCAGGCCTGGCAGAGTCCCTTGTTTTGTTTTGTTTAATATTATTTTTGGTAATGAATACAACATCTTTATTTATTTTTATGTGGTGCTGAGGATCAACCCAGTGCCTCACACGTGCAAGGCAGGTGTTCCGCCACTGAGCTACAACCCCAGCCCAAGTCCCTTGTGTTTTGTTTTTTTTAAAAAATATTTTTAAATATTTTTTAGTTGTATTTGGACACAGTGCCTTTATTTTATTTCTTTCTTTCTTTCTTTGTGGTACTGAGGATGAACCCAAGGCCTTGCACATGTTAGGTGAGCACTCCACCACTGAGCCACAACCCCAACCCCCAAGTCCCTTGTTTTTTGACAGTGAAAGTTTTGATCATTTCAGAGGTAGACAAGTCTGCTTTATTGTACTCATAAGTTTTTCTACTGTGTGCTCCTTGTACTACCTATATTCTTATTGCATTTGGTTTTTGTTTCTGTTTTTTTGTACCAGGGAGTGAACCTAGGGGTGCTTAACCACTGAGCCACATCCCCAGTCCTTTTTATTTTCTATTTTGAGACAGCTTCTCTCTAAGAGTTGCTTGGGGCCTTGCCAAGTTGCTGAGGCTGGCTTTGAACTTGTGATCCTCCTGCCTCAGCCTCCACAGCTGCTGGAATTACAGGCATGGGCCACCACACTTGGCTCCCATTAGATTTTTTTTTTTTTTTAAACCTAGCCTTCTGCCTCTTTTTTTTTTATTTTTTTATTTTTTAAAGAGAGAGAGAGAGAGAATTTTTTTTAATATTTATTTTTTAGTTCTCTCGGACACAACATCTTTGTTTGTCTGTGGTGCTGAGGATTGAACCCGGGCCGCACGCATGCCAGGCGAGCGCGCTACTGCTTGAGCCACATTCCCAGCCCTCCCATTAGATTTTGACAAGTGTTTTTATAAAACTTTTTTTTGTTTGTTTTTTTAAAGAAAGGAACTATACTGAATAGTAGCTTTTTCTGGAGAGTTCCAGAACTGCTTTTTCCCCCTCCAAAAGCAGGTAGTTTACAATGATAAGAAAGGTCCAGGTTTGCTGTATTAATTTACTCTAGGAGATTCGTGAGAAGAGGAGGTTCTGGGAGATGTGTCTCTTTCTTTTGCCTTTATTTTAATCAGAAGGATTAAGAACTTAAGATGACAGGTTAAATATTTTAATATAGCCCTGAACATTTCATTTCCTATTCATACTTGGAAAAATAGATTTAATTTTTTTTAAGTTTTAACCTAAGTTTTAGAAGAGAAATGTCATTATCATTTTATATCAGTAGGTTTTTTTTTTTTTTTGAGAAAATGACAGCCATCCTCTTGAGTGGTTTTGTAAAAGTGGTGCTAATGTGTATAACTTTAATTTTTTCTTTTTTCTCCCTCTCCCTTTAACATTTGCTTTTCCTTTCACTGTTGTCAGTCACAACATGCTGCTCTTGAATCTCTCAGCTGGTCTTGACTCGTGAATTTACTTATGCTTTCACTCTTCTTTAATAAATACATTACTTGCAAGCAGTGAATTGAAAACAAGACAAAAAAAAAAAAAACGACCATTAGTGATCGGACAGTTTCTTACTTTGTGTTACATTTAACTGTTCTTTTGACAGCCCAGTTTTAAAGCCAGGTTCGTATGGAAATGCTTTCACTCCACTTGCACTGCTTTTGGAAATAGCATACTGCTTCATCTGTCTGTTTATTTTAGTGCATTCATAATATAACACAGTCAGCATAATGTCTCATCTCCACTTAGCCAAATTTTTTTTCTTTAAAAACAAAACAAAACAACAACAAAACATCAAATAGGAGGGCAACAATTTTTGTCAGCATTAATGCCCAAGCCTTAGTGCCAAATATAGTTATAGTGTTTATCTAGTAATAGATTAAATAATAATTTAACCAATTACAGAACTATAGTCATTCTACTATCCTTATATTCTTTCTAGAGTTTTCAGTTATAAAAATTATGATATGAAATAAAGATTTTATATGCAGGTAAGTTTGTTTCCATGTTAAAACCATAAGGGCCTCTTTACCTTTCCATTTTCTGCTAGTATTACTTATTATTGAGATTTTTATTATTTTTTAATTTTAATTTTTTTGTGGTGCTGGGGGTTGACCTTGTGCATGCTAGGCAAACATTTTACCACTGAGCTATATTCTCAGTGCTTAATTTTTTTTTTAAATAATAAAGTTAGTAAATACTTAGACACACTTAGTACTGGGATAGAAGATGCATTTCCAGGTAATACAGGGTAGAACAGAAGCTGTAACAGGGTTGATTGTTTAATGTGAAAGTCATCTGTTGGGATTACACATACCATATAGTGTTTTCTAATTCTTTAAATTCTTAGTAAAAATAATTTCTAGTGCCCTTTTGTGAACCACACGTGTTTTATATGTATGTATAATGTTTTTCTTCCCCCTGTGACTCCAAAAAGCATTTTATCATTTGCATTTAGAACTAGGAAAGAAGCAGTCTAATATGAAATGTTTAGTTTTAGTGAGAGATTTGTGATTTTTTTTAGATTTGTAAATAGATTTTACATAACGTGGTTATTTCCAAATGGCAATACTAGGTTAATATTATAAATTAAATGCATGTTGAACATTTTGTGTATACATATAAGTGTACATACACACATACATACATAGATACATACATGCAGTATAGTGATTGAGCCCAAGGACTTATGCATGCTAGGCCAAGTATTATACCACCAGCTATATCACTAGCCCTGGGTTTATAATTTTTAAGTGTTTTGTTGTTGTTGTTGTTTTTGAATGAGCATCATTTTTTTTTTTTCTGGTACAGTTAGTGGTTGTTTAGTTTTATCTGAGTACTTTATAATAACTGTAAAAAGCAGAGAATTGGACAGAAGACTGTAGGAGTTTCTGATACCTTGATCCTTTAGGCAAAAGCTGACACTTAATTGTTGTTTCTGGAATCTTTTTATACAGTTTACGTTGAAATATCTTTTCTGATTTCTCCTAGGAAGATGAGACATTATGTATGTTGGTTTTTTTTCCCCCTACATGCACTAATGGTTCTTTACTGTTAACTTATTGCTAGGCCTGTTTCATTCTAACATCTTAGCATTTTTGTTAGACTACATGTTGAAATGCATCACTCAGTCTGTGCTTGAGCTCATTTTATTTTTGTTTAATCAATTTAATTTCTTGTTTTACTAACCTCACTGTTTTTTCAGTTTAATATTGGCTGCATGCTAGTTAAATATTTATATTTTATATTATATATATTTAAAACACCAATCAAGTCTAGCCTGGATTTGCTGATTGTTTTTTTCATTTCTACTGTTGGGGTAGTCTTACACTTACAGCTTACTTTGTTTCTTGAAAGCCTGACACATAAACAAAATAACTAAACACAATGTAGATTTTTTTTTTTTTTAAAGAAAAATCTTAAAGTTGTGCTGTCTAGGTGGTGGATATGATTGTATAAGTACCTTGATTTTATGCTTTTTAATGTTAGTTTTAAAACTTCATAAATGTATTCTTCCCCCTTTTCCTTCCCCTTTTTAAGTGTTATGTACAAAAGTTGCCCAGCACACTATTCAAAAGGACCCTTACCCAATATGTTCTTCCCATTTAAAATACTAGCCAGCATTTCTTTTACATTAATGTCCCTTTTATTGGGCACATTTACCCTGTTATCAGCACCTTTTTTGCATGCATATATGTAGAATTACCTCTTGCTCATCACCTGTTTAAATGTCACTAGGAAGGGAAGAATATATTATTGGAATATTTTTGGTTTGTCTCTCTGTTCTGTCTGTCAGGATAATATTGGACACCGCTTACTCCAGAAACATGGGTGGAAGCTGGGCCAGGGATTGGGAAAATCTCTTCAGGGTAAGTTTTTTAAATTTACCAAAACAAAGAAAGAAAACAATGTTTCTGATGCAAATCTTGTATCTGAATATATTTGTTGTCTTCTTAAAAAAGTGTTTGGGGTTTTCTTCCCACTTTTCCCCCACTAGAATAGTCCATTTTTTCCTATGATTGTATTATAAGTTTCTGTATATCTTCCACATGTGCTAGTAATTTGCAGAAGCAAGCTGCTGTGTCATTAAAACTTTCAGGTCAAACATATTGTGTGCGGCTCAACTTGTTCAAAAACAACAACAAAAAATTTTAAATGGAGGTGGTAGGTTGGTGAAATAAAAATAATACATAGTATCAGAGTTACACCTGGCTTCAGTATTATAAGTAGAATTCAACACAGGGTTTTAACTTTTGTCCTTCCCAAGTCTGTCTGAAGCTTGTGATTACTCTGGCTCTTTAGCTCTGTGATTAGAATCCATGTAGTGGTGAAGATAAAAAATTAACCTACATGAACTAGAATGAAAATTGTAGGGCTTTCTAAGCAGAGAGGTCACTTTTCAGGTTCAGATCAGGCCTGAAAAATGTTTGGATTAAGGTTTTTTATTGCATTTAGTTTTCTTTTTAACTATACTAGTTATTTGAAAACAAAATACTAATATTTCTGCTTTTGAGTTGTTAATTGGAAAAAACATCCACCTGCATTTACTTTTTAGTTCTCTCAGATTCATTAGCTATTGTTTGATACACATGTAATATGGATGCTACCTCAGAAATGAGGGGAATCGTTATACTTCTGCATCTGATTATGGAGAGGCTCATTATAGAAAGGATGTTTGGAGTTAGGTATGCTAATGTTGATTTAACTCCTTTGAATTTTGAAAACAGATTTTCACCATTTGAATACAGGAGTGTTATCAGTTAAGCATGTTAAGAGAAGCAAGAGGACAGGGAATGAAACAGGATGTTTCAAACATTAAAACCTTTGCTTTTAAGATTCTACTTCTGTAAATTCTATTCAGTGGTGATCCTTAGGCTCAACAAATATATTTTTATTGAATATTTAATTACCAAGTATTAATCTTTTCTTGTGGTGAGAGAGGTTTGATTACCATAACTTGTTTTCCAAGTGGCAGAAAACTCTGCAGACAATACAAAGAATACTCTGTGAATTTGTATGGCATAGACCACAGATTTTATCAGAGTCCAGAAGAGAGATGGAGTAATCAGGAGTGAAATAGAGATGGATTTTTGATAGACTTTGTCCCAGTTATATAGTAGTTGTGTTAGGTTCATTTGAGTGGAGGTGATTGCTTAGAAGAGGGTCAGAAGACTAGATGTGATCTTTTCTTCCAGTTTGAAACATCTCTTCCTAATTGAGGATGCCCAGGAGCTTGTTGATTGCTGCTATCTGTGTTTAGGCACACAAGATGGGGACATCTCATAGAAGTGAGCAGATCTGTTTGAATCCCAGAATTTTTAACGTTAAGAATCAAACACTTTTACCCAAATTGAACAACAAAGTTTTTATAGGTGTCCTATAAATAAGAGTCTGGTACATAATAGATTAGAGTACCACTGGAGCCTGGTGGTGGAGTGTGTGTGTATATTTATTAATTTGTATGTGTATCTTTAAGAAAGGATAGGTAGCTGGGTGTAATAGGCAATGCCTCTAATCTTTAATCCTAGCAACTGAGAACACTGAGGCAGAAGGATCACAAGTTCCAGGCCAGTCTCCGCAACTTTCTGAGACCCTGTTTCAAAAAAAAGAAAGGAAGGAAGGAAGGAAGAAAGAAAAAGACTGGAGATGTAGCTCCGTGATAAAGTGCTCCTGGGTTCAAAATAAACAGATCAAAAAAAAAAAAAAAGATGGGTAAATTGATAGGTGATCCAAAATAATAATTATTATTTAAGAACTCCTTTGAATTTTGGTTCTCTTTTAACTTTGAGCACCATGAAAAGAGAAATTAGGCTTTATTTGTGTTTTCTGTCTCCTTAGTAATGGGCATATGGTAAGCACTTAATAGCTCATACATCTATTCATTTAAAATGTAAAGGAACACTTTATATTTTGAAGCCTTTTGGAAAAAACTTCCTCCTTTTTAATTATGGTAAAAAACACATGAAGTCTGCCACCTTACTCATTTTTCTTTTCTTTTTTTTGACTCTGGGAACTGAACCCCAGGACCTTGTTCTACCATTGAGCTGCACCACCATCCCTATAGCTTAACCATTTTCAAGAATATAGGTTAGTGTTAAGTATATTCATATTGTTTTGTGAAGCTTATTTAAATGGTTAGTACATGTCTTTATCCTTGGGAAAGAATGTTTCCAATATTAAGGGCAGAGTTTGTTTTGTAAATAAATTTTTACTTCCCAGTGTCAGATTTAACACTATCAGGTCTTATACTGTTTCTCTCACATAACTGTTTCTGTAATTCATACATGATTTAACCTAGAACATAACCACATTTATGACATTTAGTTATTTTATGACATCCCCCCCCCCAAAAAAAAAAAACTTTGCTATAAATACCCACTGAAGAAAGCCCTATAACTATAGAGAAAATGATAATGCTTCCTTGGTAATTTCTAGACTGATCACTGTATGTAATTTTTAGGTTCAAGCTTTGTAAGTTTGTGTGTGTGTTTGTGCACACGTGAGCACACTCACATGCTGGGGTTGAATCCAGGGCCTCATGCATGCCAAAAAAACGCTGTATCACTGAGCTACATCCCCAACCCACTTTGTAAGTTCTTTATTTTCACTAGATTATTGTCAACTTTGAATTCTCCTTTTTATTTGAAACTCTTAACATGTTTAACATGCAACTATCCACTGAAATTTAAACCTGGTCTCATTAGGCTTCTTTGTCAAGTTTAAAAATTATTTTGACTTTTACAAACTTTTACAGTGTTAGTCCTTGGGGCTCCAGTGTAGCTATCTTGTCACTGGATAGAGTGGGGAATAATAAAGCATGTTAACTCTGGAATGAAGTTTCTTGTGTCAGGATATAAATTGCACTGGGTTTATTTTTGTATTTGAATTTTCATATTTAACTACTTTTGTTCTCCCTTTGTATTTATTACAATAATTGAAAAGTTTTTTTGGAAAAAGAACTTTTATTGTATATCATAGATGATAGTATTAAAAGATAAAAGTTATGTATAAAAATATGTTGACAAGGTATCATCTGAAGGAAATAACACAAAGAAAAACTGTGTTAATGAGAAATATTATGGACAGTTGCTTATTGTAGAGGCAGAAGGATGTTAATTGGAAATGAAGCAATAGTGAATGATAGTTGTATTTTGTACCAGTTGAACTGGATTCGGTTCTGGAAATTGTTTTAAACCTTTGAAATGCAGCTTTGAAATGTAATGGAATGCAGCTCAAACATCTTTATTTTGTTGTGAAATAAGTTTAGTCTATAGGTTTAATTCAGAAATGGTGCCCAAACTTCCTTTGTTGTGTTATTGCTAAGATCCATTTGATGATTTGACTGATTCTTTGGTCATAAACAAAAGTTCAGCTCTTGGGAAAAAATGAGTGAGGTCTGATACTATTTTCATTATTTAGCCTTTCTAAGGGGTTCAGTCAATACATTTAGATAACCAATAAATATACTGAGCTAATAAAATGTTTTAGTTGTGCTGGCTGTGAGTAATATAAGGCATGGATAAAGTAGATAAGATGGGGTTCCCGCCCCTCATTTTCTAGGGCCCCGAGACTTGCCCTTTTAAAAAAATATATTTTTTTAGTTGGACACAATATCATCTTATTTTATTTATTTATTTTTATGTGGTGCTGAGGATCGAACCCAGGGCCTCACATGTGCTAGGTGAGCGCTCTACCACTGAGCCACAACCCCAGCCCCAAGACTTGCCTTTTTAACATGTGTAGGTCTTGGAAGGATTCTTCAAGCAAAGAGCCATGTTTTATAATTCTGTGGATTCGTGTCGTGTGTAGAATTAAGCATGTGATCAGTCTGAATTTTTGATGGACATATTGCTTCAAGCTCCTTGAGTAAGGATTCTCATTTATTTTGTGTAAAAATAATTGATAACAAGGTATAAAGGCAGTATGATAACGACATTTGGAAATATAAGATCTGGGTTTGAGTTTTGTGCTGTGTTGCCATTTCCTTTAAGTAAAGGGAAAAGCCATCATCAATGGATTATTCCCCTCAGTGATAAATGGAAATTAACTCTGCCCATCTTTTCTTAGTCATGGTTATGAGGATGCAGTAAGTTAATGTAAGTGAAATCACTTTATGAAAACTGTAAGATGCTATGTAAATGCTTACTGTTACCATCTCTATTGTATAGAGCATATTTAGATTTGAATATTTTTCCTCCTAGTATTTGAACCCAGGGCCTTATTCATGCTAGGCATGTATTCTACCACTGAGCTACATCCTCAGCTCTTTTTATTTCATTTTGAGACAGTGTTTTACTAAGTTGCCTAAGTTGGCCTTGAACTTTCATTCTTCCTGCCCCAACCTCCTGGGTAGCTGGGATCATATGTGTGCACCACTGTGTCCTGCCATATTTAAGTATTTTAAGTGAATTAGAGAAAATCCATTTTTAAGTCTTAATCAGAACTAAATGTATAAAAATCATAAATAGAGATACTTGTGTCTTCTGTTCTCTGTTTCCCAGACTTAACAACAGTAATAATTAATATACATTATATTGTTAGATATTTGACTATAGGATCTGTGCTTTTAATGTTGTATAGGTTTTAGGGCTCCTAAATCCCTTATCAGCTCCTGTCATGCTGAGTCCGAGGAGCTCACTAGTCATCTCTACTTTTGAATCTCTGATTTACATCTAAAAAGAACCTCAATCACTTAACAGTATTGTTGGGACAACTGGATAACAATCTAGAGAAAAAGTCATATTCTCATTGTCATACTTTACCCCAAATTAGATTTTAGGTGAATAAAAATTTGTGCACGGGCTGGGGATATGGCTCAAGCGGTAGCGCCCTCTACTGGCATGCGTGCGGCCCGGGTTCGATCCTCAGC